ATGGACATTATGAAGTTACGTCTCTGTCTTCATGGACATTATGAAACTACGTCCCCATCTTCATGGACATTATGAAGTCACGTCTATGTCTTCATGGACATTATGAAACTATGTCCCTGTCAGTGGACATTATGAAGACACGTCTGTGTCTTCATGCAGCGTCTCACCCACCTCCCAGTAATGGCGTCCTGAGCTGAAGCCCTGGTGGGCCAGCACACACACCACGCGGTCGAAGCGCTCCGGGTTGTCTGCGACCAGCTGATGGCGATCACTGCAGCGCACCTGCTTCCCATCGGGGGAGATTTGGAGGCGTGGGTGGGCGGTGCTGGGGTCTAAGGTGATGTCCTCTGGCAGAGTGGAGACAAGAGTGATGACTGGGTGATCGTCCACACACTCCAAGACAGACTGAGTTTGGTTTTAATACCTGCATATTCTTGAACCCTTCTGACCTCTGGAAAGAGAAGATCTCAGTAAAAATTCACTTTATTATTTCATTAACGGTCGTTAATCAGCAGACCGACGTCTTACTTGGGTTGGGCCGCGGGACAGGCTGAGCTGGTGAGGGTGGTGGGCCTGTCGGGAACAAAAATCAATAAAACTCAAAGAACTAATTCTGGAGTTTGAGGGAAAAATGTTCACATTTTCTTTGCTGAAGTAGAATAAAGTTCATTTGGTCTTTTTGATGAGCGCCTGCTGCCCAAGACAAAAGCAAAGTGATAATGGTTTTACTCATATGTGTGTTTACCTGTACTGTTAGCAAAATATCTTGTAAACTAATAAACAGCTAGCACAGCTTAGCTTACACAAAACTGCCTACGAGTCCATGTACAGAAATGAAGCTATAGTTTAGTTTGGTAGTAGCTGAGAGTCATCCACTACATACACAAGAGCTGCACCGTAATTTCCGGTCTATAAGCCGCTACTTGTTTCACAGGGTTTGAACTTGTACAATGCCGCAGCAAATTTATGGATTTTTATGTTTTTTGACGGTCTAGTGAGCTTTATGTCGCCGAAACATTTAGCATCGTCACACCCGCATGCTCACAGAGCTGTGCAATACACAACTTGAGGGGGGGGGTCCTCGTGCCATAAAATTACAGAACAGGTCACAGTGGACCAATGAAACTTTACTGTAAATTAAACGCACTAAACTCTTCAGATCAGTTATTTTGCGCTTCATGAACAGACTCATGGAAAACTTCGGTGGTTTTAGTGCACAGGAGGAAGATAGTGATCAGTGGCTTTTCAATTAAATTCAATTAAATTCAATTTCAAAAATACTTTATTAATCCCAAAAGGAATTTTATTGTTGTTGTAGCTCATTATCGTCATTTCATTAAGAAATGTTATAGCTACTGACGGCTGTAGGCAGGAAGGAGCTTTTGTAAAGGTCCGTCCCACAGCGGATCTGAAGAAATTGGCCGCAGATGCTGTCTGATCCGTCCACCCAGACTCTGCTGGCCTCTTAGTTCCCCGGGCTGCAGGACCACCTGAATGTTGGGCAGAACTCCTCCCAGAGTGACGGCCACTCCTCCCAGCAGCTGCCAAGCTCCTCGTCACTGCGGACAGCCGGCTGCAGGTGTCGAGGGACGATCCCGTTCCTTCTGCTGCCATTTCCAGGATCTCATCGGTCAAGCACTCAAGCATAGCCGGCAAGGAGATGGGGATGCATCTACGGTGCCTCCTTTTTAACTCATTTGAGATTTGGGGCTGTAGTTGAGGTATTATTTGAGCTTTTGAGATGATGCTCCTAGTTGTAAAAAACACCTTGTTGTTATGGTTATGCATCATAACAAATGCCCAAAACTATAAGTTTTAGTAAAAATCCTTCCAGCTGCTCAGCATCCGATACCAGAGGAAACAATCGTACAAAAAAAAAGTGATTTACATGAAAAAGAAAAAGATGAATTAAAGTTTCCAAAAGCAAAATCTCTGAATAAAAGTAACAGAGCTGCTCCAACATGCAGCCACCCCGAGCGGCGCAATTCTAGAACTGACTAACTTTTCTTGGTAGGCTACTGTATTTTATTTTAACCGGCTGTGCACGTGTACATATTTGTGCATGTTACTGGTATAATTAAAAGTTTAAAAATATTTCTGTGTAATTATCTTATGCTACAACGTGGACACCCCACTGCTTATACACAAGCGTGGCCTATGCATGTACAGTTTGGGTGCAGTTTATATTCGGGTGCGCTCGGTAGTCCGGAAATTACGGTACTTGTTGTTTAACACTTTGGGATTAACTTCTAGAGTCAACCTGGTCTGCCTTTTGGAAAAAATAAAATAAAATCTCAATTCACAGGACAGATTGTTGTGAAACTCTCTCAGTAATCTCAGCCTGTACATCTACAACAATAACATTTGTCGGACTAGTTCAAGGTGGCAGCCACAGCCAACCAAAGTCAACTAACACAAAAATGAACACAACTTTGTCAATTTGATAGATGTTGATTAAAATTTAGCGTGGCAGTAGCGTCGGTTATTCACACCACATTGCTACTCTAAGTGATAACAGACAATGTGAGATCTTTCCATGTTGCACAGGCTTCATGCCACAAACAAGGTTCGACCTGAACGGCTCAAACTTTGTTCTTTTTCCATCACAAGAGGATTTTAGTGTAAAACTGGTGTAAAAGGCGCAGTTTGACGTGCATTCCTTCAAAGAATGCTTGGCCTGCAACTGTGGCAGGTGCTGCATGTTCAACCGTCACTAACGTTTGTTTGGACTGGAACCTACAGATTTCTGTCAGTTTCCTCGTCTCTTCCTGAAGTTGCTCCACCATCTGACCGAGACTCCTGAGGATCGACCCCGATATCGGCATAGAAGACACCGAGACGCCAGACCAGTCTTTAAGCTGTGGGGGTGTGGACACGGTGGGGAACTTCTGCAGAGACAGAACAGTCAGTGATGTCATTTAAAAATTATGAAACCTGCTTCATTTACCGTCTGTCCATCATACCCAGCTCAAAACAGTCCAGTGTAGAAGCTCCAGGACACCTGGAGGTATACTGGAGGTACAGGTGAGTTAGAGTGATATTT